CTCCTCTCCTCGCCCACTGTTCTTTAGCATGCATACTTGTCTTTTTTGTTGTTGTTGTTGTTGTTGACATAAAACAGGAAGCACTGGTGGTGGCAATGTATTTAGAAGAAGCGTATAACAGGGTTAAATATGAAGTTTTACTGTGCGCACACTTATGCATATGGAGTTCAGTCCCTGGATCGTCAGTATGATTGCAGCTGTCCTGAATACACGGCAGACTTTCACCTAGGCCCGTGTTGTATCGCACCTGACGTCCCACAGGGTTCTGCAATTTCCCCAGTTCTTTTCAATGTTTACATAAGCAGGATAGCGGCAACAGAAGCAGTGGGCAGTAGGGAAATCTGGACCTTTGCTGTCTATACCTTATTTTACTCACACGAGAGAAACAGAATGTAAATGTATAGAGAACTACAGTTCGTAGTAGATAAGGCGGCTGAGTGGAGTCAGAAAATGGCTCGGTCATCAACCCAGATAAGGCAGCAGTACTGCAGTATTATGTAAATAACAGAATTGTTAAAGATGTGTTGCCGGATATCACAATAAACGACAGTAACATAAAGAAATATACATGTAATTCACTTAAATGTCTAGAAAATACTTTTGACATGAGTCTTTGGAACATCGTCTGCAAGAGGTCGTTTTAAAATATGGTAAGGTCTCAATGCTTTAAAAGTGATTGCATCAGCAGACATGGAGCACACAATGCTCTATACACTGATCATTTCAGTGATAGGGTGTGGTTTAGGACTGCTAACATATTCTCACATCCAAACGCTGGAACGCCAGTCATTTTGGGGTGTAAACGAGACATACGGTACACACTTACACTGTCATTTATATATGAGATACAAATTGATACCTTAAAGTCGCAACGGGCAGGGAGGGACCATCTTCTACATGGGGCCTTAAGGGATAGCAAGGGACAACTTCTGAAAAGAGGCGGCTCTTGGATGGCACTGGCAGAAGTCACGATCAGAACTGTTTGGGTTACTGACAAGACAGCGCATGGTGAAGAATGGGTTACAGTGACTCCCAGCAAAACAGATTTGCACAGTGTGATAGTGATAGTTACCTTGGACCTAGGGTGCAAGGAATAATAAGCTGGTGAAACAGAGTCCACCGTTCAAGAGCCGATCAATGAAAATGACCCCCCCCCCCCTTTCCTCAGGTGACATCATAGTATGTACAGATGAGTCTGTAGTGATAGGTAAGAAGGTTTTACTAGTGGGGTTTTACTGCAAAGTCGAATGGATACTGCTTGAAAAACGAGCAGCATGTCACTACATTCAGTATAAGAATAGAGGTGGAGGCAGCAACTGTAGTCTTCTGATGGCTTGAGAGCAGCACAGACCGAAGAAAATAGTTGGGGTTGCTGATGAAATCTCGTCTGACAAGAATTAGTTTCGTTTTTGTGCCAGGACACTCTGGGGTAGGAGAAAATGAACGAGTAGATTGGCTAGCTGGCAGGGCCACTGCAGTTACAGGACAAGCAAGGGGCCGGGTCGGTATTCTCAGTGCTCTCAGGGAGGCAGGACGAGAAGAGGATTCAGGAGAAGACGCTCAATTGGCAACACTGGAAAGACATCAATAACTCTAGGTCAAAAGAGGTGTCGCCAAACACGATCACTATACAGGCAACCAAAGAAGAATAGTAAACCCACACAGAACTGGTGTTAAGTCGCCGTACGCTAAGGGATATGCTGAAGATGGGATCCGAGCGCTTATGCACTTGCCCGATAAACACTAATCATAATATGTCGATTAACTAACTATTAACACCCGAGATGTTGTAACTGTATCAGACTCACAGAGCATGTCCCGGACAACTGAAACTAGCGTCCTGCACGCTGGCTGGCTGGCATCTCTTGCTGAGACCTCAATCAAGAGCATCTCATTGATTGTCTGTCCAGGAGATTCAGGTGTGCCAGGTAGCAAGCAGGCTGATAGATTGGCTTCCGTCGCTTTTCTGGGCGGTGAGCTACTTTATGATAAAGCAGATGTGGTGAAAACTCTTTAGGATGATCACATGGGCAGTGCAATACAACCTATAAGGGATGCATACATTAAAGGACTAATTCAAAGGGGTGGGAGAGAGGGGGGGGGGGAAGTTGTTGAGGCACTGGAAGGTATTCAACATTAAAAGAGAAACAGAGGCAGACTTTTAATCAGGTTGCAGCCGGTACTGTTAGCATGTCAACTCCTCGTTGGCTACTGAAGAAGAGGACGGATCACATGTGGGCATTTTTCGAGTGCAGTGATGTCACTCCTCGATTCATTTATTCATCTATTCGTCTTACACATTCAAAATCTGTTATTGGATGTTATAAAAATAATTAGTTAATAGTTGTAAATCCGGAACAATTCTTCGTCACAATAATGATAACAATAGTCCACCGAGGATGTGGTGATGTGATTCTACAGAATGTTGAATGTTGAATTAGGAATCTACATCACAGCACTTGTGACACTCCCATAAGCTCTCTGTCCCCATATTCAGCAGCAAGCGAAGAGTTAAAATTCCGATGGTATCAGTAACTCTCTGATTGTGTATCCGTTTCGCCTTTCCCTTGAGTGTCGAGCGTTGACCAGATCCCTTCCGACCGCAATGATCTGTTTCTCAGCACTGTTCTCTCGCTCCCAAAGGGCCCTCACAACATCCAGCTTGTCATACATCAGTTCACTACCAACTAGTGCAGAACCAGGCAGTCTATCTGCCTGCTCATTTTCCAACGCCCCGACATAACCTGGAGAAAATATCTGAAGGATGCTAACTACACGAGACTTTTGAAGTGATGCTTGCCATTCTGCACGGAGCATGCTTGTCTCCGCCTTACTCAACATGCTCCCTGAGTCAGTTACAATGGCAGCATGTGTGTAAAGCTGATTCTCAAGCTAGAGGAAGGCAGCAGTGACTGCCTCCACCTCCATTCGCAAACCATACGTTGGGATACCATACACCAGGCTGTGTTGCACAAAGCGACGTCCATTAGCCTTCGCTATGAACCCCCGTGCACTTCGTCTGCCCCTCAACACAGAGCCATAGATAATCACCTCAGCTGGGCGGGAATTGTCATGAATCATTCGTTGAACCTCTGATTCTGCAGCGCCAGCTGGCCTGTCCCTGCCCTCCCGCGCCAAAGTGATAAGAACCCTACACACGTCTGCAACCTAATAGGACACTTTGATTCTCGGATTCTTTATAGACCTTGAGCACAAAGACATTATATCGCAAACATGAGAAGGAGGTAGAGATAGACAGACAGCACGAGAGAGAGAGAGAGAGAGAGAGAGAGAGAGAGAGGAAAAACAGAACAGAACGGAAAAGACGGACAGCGAGACAGACACGTATACTGACAGAAAAAGGCAGCCAGACAGACAGAAACATAGACAGACAGATGGGTGGATGGATAGATGGATGGATGGATAGCTGCATGGATGTGGGGTGGGCAGGTAGTCAGACAGACAGACAGACAGACAGATAGATATAAACATAATCGTTATTCCAACAGCATTATGGAGATACATAGTAAAACATGTGACAATTGACAACATTTATGGACAGAGACACAATAAGTCAAAGAGAGCAGATTTTTTACAGCAACTAACACAGAAAGATGACAGCACACAATTTGATACATGCTGCCGGAAATGGCAAACATTGCCACCGACGTCAATTGGCAAGGCACTTAAAGATGATCAAAGACATTAAACAAACTGAACATTCATTAGCCAGATCATCAGAAAACTAGGAAACAATTTCCCCGACGAGGGATGTAGATAGCAAGTGAGCATTGTCCGTAGCATGGACAGCTTTCACAAATGAATTGTTCTATAACTGTTCAATTCCTGACGGTTGAAAGAAAGAGTGGTTAACTCTAACAGGCGATAAAACAAGTTCTAGAATAAAAAGAAGGTTATATGTTAACCTACCACGTCTGTCGTAGAATTGTTGTGAAATCATATAACGCCCCCCCCCCCCCCCCCAAAAAAAAAAAATTGGAATAACGAATTCGTAAGCTAACCGAAATTAACAGGTAACAGTGGGCATGCGTCTCTCTCTCTCTCTCTCTCTCTCTCTCTCTCTCTCTCTCTCTCTCTGTGTTTGTGAGTGTGTGTGTGTGTGTGTGTGTGTGTGTGTGTGTAAAATAGGGAGAGGGAAGGTTTGCAGTAATAAACATTAACTGGGTAAAGTAGACAATATCAAACACCAGTATTATTCTCTTATTTTATTGATCCCCCGTGTACCAATGAAATGATCTAGTTGTTTGAAAGTAATGTCTTTTTTTCTGTTTTCACTCCAACAGGTAGGGTCGGTTTCTCTGTTGAAACATTTTTGTTTTCTACCAGCAGTAAGAGATCGTTCCTTTGCTTTCTGAGATGTTCCAAGAATACAGACGTGCTGACTGGCAAACGTGCTGACTGATAAACGTGCTGACTGGCAAACGTGCTGACTGACAACGGCGTGAAAATGTGTAGCCCAGTGACAACGACACAGATCTACAGCAAACTGACGGCCGTGAGCTGAACACTAGTTCCTGGTGATGTCTACATGTTTCACTTGTATTTCTGAAAGTGACTCATTGTTGTCGAAACCGTTTCAACGACCCCCAACATCTTGCCTGAGACCGCATCTCTCGCAGCGAACTGCTGAGGTTTGGTCGCACTGGGACACGAGTGAATAATCAGTATGTCAGATATATTTATGTAATAACGGGGAGACGCTAAATCCATCAACAGTGTACATTGTTCCTACGTTAGCTACTTACTTTTATAGTGACTGAGGTCAGGTTTAATCTGCGACGGATGGAGAAGCACTTCCAGCAACAACACTTGTGAGCGTCAAACAGACCAATCAATCCCCATATTGAAACAAAAGAAAAAAACTAAATGGTTCGCTTCTGCCTGCATGGGTAATCTCGTATGTTAATTCTCCGGCGCACACAACCACATCCGACTGCTAATGTTTCACAAGCGTTGGTGCCCGAGATTTGAACCCATGCTCAACAAGGTCTGTGGCAATCGCACGAGTCGTCAGCATAGAATGTTGACCTGTCTGGACTTGCCATGTTGGAACGTTGCAAGGCATATCTAGTGCTTCCGTTGCCAGCGCCGCAACAAGAGCTGTCGTTGACGCTGCAGTATGGATCTGCCTGGGGAATCACTGGTATATATTTGTCCGGAAAATCCGGTTTTTTGTTGGCTAGAGGCTGTTGGTAAGTATCATCGAAGGAGAAGGAAGGCGCGCCAAAACCGTTACCTGACGGAGATGGTGGACCTTGCAGCGATGACACATAACTATATTCGTCAGTGCAAGTGGGTTTCTTGTTGACGAGACCTTTCTGGTAAGTATCATCTTCGTTGCAACTACAGCAGATAGCATCGCGTTTCTTGTCTTTGAATCCGTGTTCGTAAGGACCACAGGGGTCGTAGCTACACACTGCAGTGCCGCCACCAGCTCCCCCGTTATAACTGCCGGTGCACCCACAACCTTCGTTGGCGTACGGTTCGTGGTTAACATTGTGATTGCAGTTTGTGTTTACTTCTTGGTCATCTTTCGGCCCGTAGACGTTGCTTATGTTCCTAAGGGCAGCATTACTCTCATCCCCTCCGTCAAGTGCCTGCAGATAAACATCCATGACACAGTCGGGCATCTCGAAGTAGCCGGCGCAGTCACAACTGTTGCCGGAGACGTTCAGCTGATCGGCGCAGTACGTTTCTTCATTCAGCGCATCAATACCTGCCTGCTTGGCTTTGTTTTCACAAGTAGAACTAAAATCCATGCTTTCGAAATTACCGTACGGATCCATTGTTATACGAGTCTTGTAACAATGACCCCGAAGAAGTGTGTTTCTAGTTTTCTTCAGCAGAGGCAAGGGATTGTTGTTCGCAAGATGGAGATACACGGGGTGATGCTGACGTTGAGTCACTAAAGTTGACGTCATTAAGCAGACCCTAGAGACTACCACGTTCAGTTCAGTACCTCCTGGTGCGCTCTCACGCCACCCATCACTATTTCGGGCACATTCATCAGAGGTGCGCCATTCATGTCTTCTTATTTCAATCAGTCTGAGGCTGTTGTCCAAAAGAATGCTGATCGGCAATGGATTAGCTTTGTTACTCATATTGACTGCTGTTCATCCCTTTCCTTGTTTTGTTTCTCTTGTTGTACCGCTGTATATCTCCTGCTTACCTGCCTTCAGTTATTCCCTTGGGTTTAATTGTTACAAGAGTATCATGTTTCCTTATTTTTCTTTTCTTTCTTCTTTTGTCCGTATTCTGCTTTATTAGCTAATTAGTTTAATTTGATTTGATTTGATTCAAGAACCGATATCACAGCACTCGGGGCATTCCCATAAGCGCTCCGTCCCCATCTTCAGCAGCCAGCGAAGAGTTCCGATACTAATGGTGCCAGTAGCATTCTGATTAAACGTCCGTCTTGCCTTTTCTGTGAGCGTCGACCATCTGCCGGAACCTCTCGACACCCCTCCCCCTCCCCCCGCTCATCAATCTCACCAGACTGTAATGTTCCATCTGCTTCTCTGAATTGTACTCGCTCTCCCACAAGGCCCTAACCACGTCTGCCTTATCATGTATCAGTATTCCACCAAGTTGTGCACAGCCAGTTAGTCTGTCCGTCTGTTCATTTCCCAACACACCGAGGTTACCTGGAGAAACAATCTAGACATTACTCCTTGCCCGTGTCCTCCGCAGCGAAGCATGTAACTCTGCACGAAGCATGCCAGTCCTGATCTTCCTCAGCATGCTTTCTGAGTCAGTTACAATCACGATGTGTGTGTGTGTCTGTGTGTGTGTGTGTGTGTGTGTGTGTGTGTGTTTGTCGTGTTTTATAGCCCGTGGAAAGCTGCAGTGACCGCCTCCACCTCCATTCTTAAGCTGTATGTTGTGGTATCATATGCTAGGCTCTCCTGCACCAAACGTCGACCATTAACTTTTGTTAAAAAACCTCAAGCACTTCTTTTGCCTCTTGACACTGAACCGTCTGTGTAAATGATCAAATCCTCTGAGCGAGCATTATCTTGAATTAATTGCTGAATTTCCATCTCTATGGCACCTGCTGGCCAGTCTCTACATTCCCGGCTCAGTGTGATTATGACCCTACACAAGTCTGGCTGTTCAGGTGGCACTTTGACCCACTCCTCTCCTCGCTAAAGGATGCAAACCTGTCTGATTGTGACTTCTTCTTGAGCCATACATTTCCCTCTTATCAGCCGCTGACCCTTAACTGCAACCAGAGCTTCATGCAAAGAGTGGTCTATGTCTGCAGCTACCCTAAGATATGACTTCGCCTGCAGCACCTTGTGCCTACCTGCAACAGTCGGCAAACCAAGGATGTATCGCATACACACCATTAGGGTTGTCTCTGCAGCCCAGAATGACCCGCATCGCCGCGTTCTGTATGCACTATAGTTTTTCCATCTGACTCTTTGAGACGGTAAGCAGTCCCAGGCCATAATCAACCACTGACAGGATCAGGTGCTGATATAGTGTGAAAATCATTCTCTGCTCTATGTCAATTGCAGCCATAGTCTTAAGTGCACTGTCCTTTTTTGGCGTCTTGTCACAACACTCTCCACGTGGTCCTTAAAAGACAGGCTCCTTTCAAATGTAGTTCCCAGATACTTCGGTTTGCGCTCTCTACTGACGTTTCTACCATCTATCGTGAGACTTGGGACATTAGCTTTAACAACTCTGTTGTCCAGAGAACACCACAAAACAGACGACTTTTCCGGGTGGACGACAGCCCTCATTTCTATACACCACTCAGTCACTTTGTCTACTGTCGCTTGTAGCTCCCGGGCTGTTTGCTCCCTCTCTTCCCCCTGCCTATATGCAAGTATATCATCCGCAAAAGTCAGTATCCTTCCAACTCCTGGTGCTTCTAGGCTTGCTCGTATAAACTTTAAAGAGCATAGGCGAGATGGCGGATCCCTGTGGCCAAACTGCATGGTTCTGAGGTCCATAAGCCCAGTCGGAGAGCAACCCGACGTGAATACAGGACAGCTGCATCCCAATTTACCAGCCATAGTTTCCTGTCTGTTCTGGAAACCCTCATAGCTTCAAAAGTAAAAGTGGCCGCATTTGCCCATGTGTCCTTACTTGTCCTGTAGCTTCAAAGACCTGTTTGGAGAAGCTTACCCCTTTCCATATGAGTCACGAAGCATGCTGAGAAAGTTATAGACATGCATGCTTCGTGCAGAGTGGCAAGCATCGCTTCAGAAGTCCAGGGAAGTCCTTTAGATCTTTTCTCCAGGTCTGCATGTGTGTTAAGAAATGAACAGGCGGACAGACTTGCTGGCTCTGCGCGAACTGATGTGTACACTACAAGCCAGATATTGTCAAGGCTGTTTGCGAGTGAGTTAACAATGCCGGGGCACACTTATTAGATTGCCATGGTATGACAAGAATCGTACAACGGGGAGTGACTAAGGGGAAAGGCAAGATGCACTTAGATCAGACTTTTATTGGTACCATCGAACTCTTCGCTGGCTGCTGGTGACGGGGACGAAGCATGTATCGAAATGTCTCTAGTCAATGCCCAAGTCAGATACTGATAGTACACCGTTGGTCTAAAGATTGCTTGTATGTCTCTGTTGTAACAGCTGGTTGATCCACATTGGGGGTCAGTTGATACGTGGCATACATGGTTTTGTTTTTGGATTCTTGCTTCTTCTTCTTCTTCTACGTTCGACATCAGTCATGCAAAACATTGAGTCCCGTCTGGGTCACAAATAGGATTGTGCGTTTAAGGTCGCCACCGGTCCCCCATAGCTTCTCTTGCAATGTGGCTCCCTTGGGCCAGATCCAGTCTTTGCTGGGAGAGGTTAGGGCAGTACTGAAGTATGTGCTCAGGGGTCTGTCTTTCTGCTCCACAATCACAGGCAGCAGATTCTTGTATGCATATCCTGTACAGGTGTGCTCGAAGACCACAGTGTCCAGTCCGAAGTCTAAAAATTGTTGTTTGTTCTTTCCTGTTGAGTTTGTTTATGCTGTCACTCTCTGGTCTGTAATCTCCATTCTGCCTTCTCCACTCCCGCTTGAAAGACTGCTTTAGCGCTATTTTGGTTTCCTTGTGGTATCTTGTTTGAATCTCTCTATCCTGTCATCACAGGTATTTAAAGTGTTGAAATTGTTTTAAAAGTTGATATTTATGTCAACTGTTTAATATTTTCTTGCTATACCCACAACTTCGATATTTTCAATGCTATTTTTGTATTGGGTTTAAAGCAGCTGTTACATAGTTAGTTGGTTTATGTGGTCATGTTGCTAATTAACTTGACTCTGGAAAAAACATTGGTCGCCGGTGACAATGTTGAATTGTTCCTCTTCATCCCGAAGGGGTGATCTCCTTGTTTTGACCATCTGAATTATTATTGGATGGAGACCATCTCAGTGACACAGCTTGTCTTTGTATTTGATTCACAAAGCCTGTTGCCTTTATGAACATGCTCAAGTGGGCATTGTTGGATTCAGTTATGATGAAGCCACTGGAAACCCACATTATTTACTTTCAGCAATCTGTTCATGATTTGTTCATGATTTCATTAATGTTTCATTTAGTTTTCACTACATGTCCAACTACAGTCTGACTCATCTGTGTTGTTTATATATGTAATGGTGTGGCCAATGCACTGATATAAGTACATATTAACCTTGTGTGTCAGTGTTGCTAGTCTGTGTATTTGTTGACCAGCTGTAAATGCCGGCAGAAAGTTCTGGTTGTTAGTCGAATTCTCTACTCTGGTCGTGTTCTAGAATTTGAGTTTTGTGTGCACATTCATTTTCCAGATCAGGCTTATATGTGTGTGCAGACTGTTGGTTCCTCACCACTCAGGCAAATGCACTCCAATTTTAAAACACCCCTAATCTGACGTCTCCTACAACCTGCTTGTTAGCGAGCACAAGGGTCTGTTCTGTGCCCGCCACAATGGGGCCACATGGAGAGACAGTCAGTGCACGACCATAATTCTAAACCATTTTGTTCTTACTTTCTTTCACAGAAACTACAGCTCAACTACACTTGATCAATGTACAGTGAGGATTTTAGCCTGGCAGATTCTGTCGCTAAAGACAACAACAAAAGGACATAGCACATTAACATGGACACCCATGAGATAAAAGAGATGTTTTCTAAATGTAAAATGTTTCATCCTGTAAGCGACTCTGACAACTTTGACTGAATAATTAACAATCATGGAGACAGCTCACCAGACATTAGACATTGATTGTAGCAAGGCAGAGAGAACTAGTGTGGACAGCCTGTGGTACAACATCAACAATCATGGAGTCTGCTCACCAGACATTAGACATTGTAGCAAGGCAGAGTGAACTAGTGTGGACAGCCTGTGGTACAACATCAACAATCATGGAGACAGCTCACCAGACATTAGTCATTGATTGTAGCAAGGCAGAGAGAACTAGTGTGAACAGCCTGTGGTACAACATCAACAATCATGGAGACAGCTCACCAGACATTAGACATTGTAGCAAGGCAGAGAGAACTAGTGTGGACAGCCTGTGGTACAACATCAACAATCATGGAGACAGCTCACCAGACATTAGACATTGATTGTAGCAAGGCAGAGTGAACTAGTGTGGACAGCCTGTGGTACAACATCAACAATCATGGAGACTGCTCACCAGACATTACACATTGATTGTAGCAAGGCAGAGTGAACTAGTGTGGACAGCCTGTGGTACAACATCAACAATCATGGAGTCTGCTCACCAGACATTAGACATTGTAGCAAGGCAGAGTGAACTAGTGTGGACAACCTGTGGTACAACA